GGGAGAGGACTCCGTGCAAGCACTCCTGAATGGGCGGGTTCCCATCCCCCCTCATCTGGGCCCTGAAGATGAAACCGAACTCCAGACATCCTCAGGCTGAAAGGTTGCCTGCGAGCCCTGGGACCAAGGAGCCTGAGGACATTCGAGGAGGGACCACTGGGTGTGTCGCCCCACTTCAAGCTGAGATTACAAGGAGCTGCTCCTCCACCCTGCGCCTTCACAGCTAGGGTGGCTGAGACAGGACCGTGCATGGGACTGGGTCAGGCACTTTCTGTCCACTCAGGAGGGGCGCTCTGGTGAACCCCTGCTCCTAAGGACGGCCCGTGAGAACAGCAGAGCGCTCAAGCCTCTCACTGTTGACTCCTCCACCCCTGCTGGAAGCGAAGGGCCCTCCTCTGCACTGGGAACTGCAGGTGCCTGGCCGAGCTCTCGGTGCTGGGGTCCCTGCAATGAGCCCGTGTCGCACTCATCCACACTAGCGTCCTCGGCTGTGCGTTCCCTGTGCTGGCCTCATGCCCACAGCGCGTAGCGCAAGGCTGCCAGGTGACAGCCCTGGGTTTTCCATCAGGATCTCCAAGGTTGAGCGTGGATACGGAAAATGATCACTGTACCTCTCTACATGGGACAGTTCCATGTGAACTTCTTTTTCTACCTCATTGAGGTTATAAATGCGTTACTTTGTTTTTGGAAGTTAAACTCAGGGCACATGGATGGGGCAAACACCATGTTTTGCGGGGCAGAAGGCTTTCTATAAATCCCAGCTCCTAACTTGCCCGCACAGTCCGCAGCACCAGGACAGGGTGTGCTCTAGAAAGCCTGCGCGCGGCTCCTTTGTCACTGTGCAGTCCCCAGAGGCAGACTGCTCGCAGCCGACTACCGCGCCTGATGGCTGGGTCGCAGGCTACTGGCAGCCGCCACACACGGGGCCTGTGGGCGGAGGAGACGTCACTGCGAGGCTCACGTGCCAGTCGTGTCCAGGCCGCGCAGCCGGGAGCGCGAAGGTGTTGCTCCGTGGTTCTCCCAGCGCCTTTGTCTGCTTGGGGAGCAGAGGAATCCTGGTCTGGTAGAACGAGCTACACGGTGTCGCCTCTACTTCTGGCCTCTGAAACAGAGAGCAGAGGGTCAGATGGATTCTTCCTGAAGTCTGGTAGAATTCACCTGCGCACCAACCTGCGACTCCCTTTCTTCCTGGAGAACTGACCCCCGGCTGGGTGTCGCTGTCTTTCTTGTTTTAAGAGGATGGTCATCCCCAGGGCATGGCCTGAGCGCGCGGCTCCAGGACTCGCTGTGCACAAGTCTCCTGAGGAGGCGGCGCTGCGCTTGATTTCCCTCTCTCCCGCTCCCACGCTCGCCCTGCGCTGGACCCCTCGCCCCCCTGAGAAGGCTCTGTCGCCCTGCTCCTTAGTATCTGGCTTCTGTTTGGCTCTTTCTGTACACTCCGGGTTTCTCGTTTCAGAAAAACCATGCAGGGTTTCAGCTCGTGTGGCTGATTTATTTCACTTAAACTCACGGAATAAAGGACCATTTCATAGTAATTATATAATATACAATCCATATTATATATTAGATATTAGATATACAGCTACTTTCTCTTAGTTCAATGAGAAGAAAGGTTTAGACAATAATAGTTTACTAATAGTTTAGACAAGATATCATGTCTGCATCTTGTACTCTGAATAACTACTACAAAGACAATATACAATGTATTTATTGTAACTGTCCTGCTAACCTGCTTTGAAACTGTTTCATTGCTATTTTTTCTCATTAAAATAAATTACAAGCACAAGGGCCTGAGTTCAATTCCCAGTTCTGCCAAAAAAATAAGTAAAATAAAATAAAATGAATTTAAAATTTTTTTTAAAATAGTTTCAAGATGCATCCATTTCTCTAGGGCCAGCCACATAGTTCAGAGGGTTAAAGCACCAGCTTAGGCAGGCACAGGGACCGGGGTTCAAGCCCCAAAGTACTGTGCCAGTCCTGCCCCCGGGCGCGCTGAGACAGCAACTGGGCATGGTGGTTTGTGCCTGTAATCTTAGCCCTTGGGAGGCTGAATACAGGAGAATCACTGAGTCCGATCTGTGTAGTGAGATCCTGTAGACCCTGGACTAAATACATTAAGAAGATGCATCCATTTCTCTACAAATGACTCAAGATTGCCTTTCATTATGGCAGTGCAGTGCTGCACTGTGTGCAAACATGTTGTCTTCATCCGCTCATCTGGCGATGGACGCCCAGGCCACTGCCAAGGCTTATCTGTTATGAAGCTTGCTGCTGTAAGCACGGGTACGTGTGTCCTACTGTAATCTGATGTCTCACTGCTGGGAAGATGCCTAGAAGGGAAGGAGCTGAGTGAAATAGAGTTTTTCCTCTCAGTTCATGGCTAATGTCCACACTGGTTTTCACAGCTTGTGCTGCTCACAAGCTCCTTCCACATTTGCTTCTTTGGGAAAGTTTTCCCTCCTTCTTGTACTCTGAAGGATCATTTCTCAGTATTAAGGAGTCTAGGCTGTCATTTATTCCTGTCACTTCTGGGCCTATCCCACAACACTCTTCCTGACTGCAGCTTCTGAGCACGCCTGTGCAGTCCTTGTCTTTGTCCCTGTAGACCTGACGCGGTCTCTCTTGGCTTCATTCAAGATCCCATCACTGGCTTAGCTGTCCTGCAGTTTGGGGTCATGAGGTTGGTACGGTTTTCATGCATTTGCCCGGGGTGCTGCTCCCTGGGCTCCCTGATCGGGGCCTGATGCATTGAGGATGTTGGCCCTGAACTTAGAGCCATTTTCAGTCCTGCGATCCAGCCACCTCCTGCTTGCTCCTCCTGTCTTCCCTCTGGGTCTCCCATGGCATCTGCGTGCCACTTTCCTTCCATCCTTCAGTATTCTGACATGGCTTCTCAGTCCTTGTTCCTGTGTAATTCTAGCGGCTATGACACACCCCAGGCTTGGAGGTTTCCTGCTGGTCGTATCTCGCCTACTCTCAGCCACAGTAGGCAGCGCCGTGTTCTGTAATCAGTGTCTGGATCTGAGTGACCACATCCGGGTTCTCTCTTGAGTCCCCACGTGCATCCAGGGCATGGTCCACCTGTTCTGGCTGCTGTTGGTGTCCACCACCATTGCCTTACACCCCTGTCTGACAAGTCCAGCCCCTCCTCCTTGTCCCATTGGCTCTGTTCTTCAAATCACTTTTTCCCTTTGGACGAGACTTCTAGTTTACTCCAGACAGCTAGGATGACTTTGCAGCTGACAGAAGTTGCCCTCACCAGGCCTCTGTGATGCCCTGGTGACATGCGGGGTCCTGTCTCTGCCCTGCTATGAGAGATGCCCCTGCTGAGCCTCCCCATGTCCAGGCACCACTGACCCCACACCTGCTCTAGGAGCGTGATGAGCTCCACAGGCTGCCACCAAGGAGCTGAGGCTCAGAGCGGGTGGCTGAGGGCGGGGCAGCATGGACAGGGAAAGATGAGCAGGCATGGAACCGAAGCCAGCTGTCACCAAGTGCAGGAGAATTCCACCCAGGAAGCAGGGGCTCTGAGAGGGTGAGAATGCCTCAGAACTTTGTTCACAGGCAACGCAATTGGACTGGGTGCACTGACAAGCACAAAGAGGGGAAAGCAGCACAGCAAAAGCCACCCCAGGTCAGGAAAGGAGCGCTTTCCCTGGCTGCTCCTTCTGATTCTAGCCCCAGGACGCAGCTCCACCAGCTGCGCAGATGGAGCTCCGCACCTCTGTGCTCTCATCCACCTGCAGCAGGAAACTGCATCCTCTCTGGAGCGTCTCCAGGGCTGGGGGAGGCCTGTCACGGTGAGGACGACTGTGCGGTGCAGATGGATGGGCTGAGGGGCAGAGGAGACGCTGTGAGGGGAAGGACCAGCCCAGGTAGTCATGGCCTGGAAGGGCAGCTCAGGAGGGCTGCGGGTCTATGGCTGCTGTGACTGGAACTTAGGAACATGAGGACAAACCAGGAAGATTCAGAAGGAGAAAAAGACCCATAATATTCCATATCTGCCCAGCCCTGAGCATTGTGAGGAGGGAAGGTCCCCATCCTGTGGGGCTGCTGATGTGACAATGCCGAGATGGGCAGATCCCAGCTACCAAGAAGCCACACCCCATGTGCCCCTGTGACCTGGGGGCTGAGATGTCACAGCCACCATACAGCCATGAGCAGGGGTTGGAAACACCATGCCCTCACCCTCACCACCCTGCTCTTCCTTGGTGAGAAGGGAAGAAGGGAGGAGAAAGCCTGGGGAGGAGGGCCCCCACCCCACAGAGCTGGCCCACCAGGAGACTAGGGGCTCAGCACACTCTGGGGAGGAGAGGGCCTGCTCCAGCCCCAAGGAGAACCTCTCACAGGAAACTGTCTTCCAGGGCTGAGCCTGGGCCCCAGGACAGGAGTGCAGGCAGGTGAGTGTATTCCCAGCTATCCTGAGTCCCTCCTCATTCTGGGGACAATGGGACACCCTTGGACAGTGGGGACAGCAGTGTAGGTTCGTGCTGGGAGGTCTGCAGGGTCCTGTGGCTGAGATCTGGGCTGTGAAGAAGGAGGAGGTCCTGAGGCCCAGCTGTGATTTCCCTGCAGAGACGCTCCCCAAACCCAGGCTCTGGGCTGAGCCGGGACCTGTGATACCTCTGCGGACACCTGTGACCCTGTGGTGTGAGGGGACCCTAGAGGCCAAGACGTACTACCTGGAAAAAAAGAGAATACCAGAGCCCTGGATAACAGAGATGACATTGGAATCTGGGAGCAAGGCCAAGTTCGCTATCCCATTAATGGGCCTGCACCGTGCAGGCCGCTATCTCTGTTACTATCTCAGCCCTTCTGGCTTGTCACAGCACAGTGACATCCTGCAGCTGGTGTTGGCAGGTGAGAGGCCACTCAGGGTCCCAGCCCCAGGCTCTGCCCCCTGGTGTCTGCTCTCAGGGTTGTCGCCCTCTCACAGCCCAACCCTGGGGACAATGTGGGAGGTGCGAGTCCCTTTCTCATGCAGCCTGCTTCTCTCCTAGGAGTCTACCACAAACCCAGCCTCTCGGCCCTGCCCAGCCCCGTGGTGCCCTCAGGAGGGAATGTCACCCTCCAGTGTGGGTCACAGAGGAGATTTAGCGGGTTTGCTCTATCTAAGGAAGGCGGAGACAAGCACTTCTGGATGCTGGACTCACAGCAAGACCGCAGTGGGCAGTGCCGGTCCCGGTTCCCCGTGGGCCCTGTGACCCCCAGCCACAACTGGAAGTTTCGATGCTACGGCTGTGTCAAGAGCACACCGGAGTTGTGGTCAGAGCCCAGTGACCTCCTGGAGCTCACAGTGTCAGGTGCGCTGCCTGGGACCCCAGCAATGCTGGGCAGCCCTGGGCTGAGGGGATGTGAAGGACTCTGGGGATGACCAGGCAGAGGTGGGCTCCTCTGAGGCACGTCATCACCTCCATTCTTCCTCTCTGAAATCTACACTGTGGGCAGCAGCTCTGTCTCAGGGAGGCCACAGTATGGGAACAGGAGAGGGCAGAGTCCACCATGGGGCAACCCAGCCCTACACCCCTCGGGTCCTCATCCCCAGGGTGAATCTGTTCCCACACCCAGGGTCCAGCCCCACAGCAGGGGCACCCCAGCTCTGTCCCAGTGTCCTGTGTCCTGGCTGCCTGGAGATGCTCAGCCCATCTCAGTCCTGGTTCCAGTGTTGGCTCACTGGTGTCCAGGGACAGAGAAAGGGGAAGGGAACCTGGATCCCCAGGACTCGAAATCCAGGTTGCACAAGGTGGAATCAAAGCTGAGGGAGATGTTGGGGCCCAGCCTGGGGAGGAGCAGCAGCTGGCATGGGTAGTAGGGAGCCCAGCCCCTCATCTCCCCAATCTTCCTAGGAGGGCCTGAGGATCAGCCCCTCCCACCAGAGTCCGGACTCCAGGATGGTGAGTGAAGGCGCTGCTGGGAGGTGTCCGGGGCAGGGCCTGGGCTGTGGGGCTGGTGCAGCCTCCCCTGGAGATGTGGACTTGGACCAGCCCCTCCTGGGTGGGCCTCAATGTCTCCAGGTGCAGAGGGGAGGCCTGGCCCCTACCTTCAAGTTCCTCTGGTGGTGACCTTGCTGTGAGCCCTGGAGAGGCAGCCTCTCAGGGAAGCCTCCAGGCCCCCAGGCTGCAGGGATCCTGTCCCTCTGTGTAGCAAAGGTGACAGTGTGCAGGGAAGGTTGCAGGGCCAGGGCAGGGTGTTTGGGCTCCTTCCCCCCAGATGGGGAAGGGGAAGGCTCAGCTCCGTGGAGAGAGAAGGGATGGAAGTCCAACTCCCTGGTTTCTTCCCCATCCGGGGTTCCTGTTGGTTCCCTGGGCTGGCAGGCCCTGTCTCTCCATCTCTGTCTCCTCCTCAGTAACCTGCATGAGAGGGTGGGGATCTTGTGCAGAACTGGGAGAGCGAGAGGCAGGGATGCAAATGCGAGCTGGGCTCACCGGTGCTCAGGGAAGTGGCTCTGTTTCTCTTTAAGGCAGCACCCCTGGCCTGCAAGGGAACAATAATGTTCTGACCTGGGTCTCCATGCCCTGCTCCCTGCTGATGCTCATTCTCCTCCTCGTCTTTCTGTACTGGCACCAGCAAAGAAGCAGGGAGAGAGGTGAGCAGGGAGGTTGGGACCTGAGTTCCAGAGAGGCGTGGGTGCCGAGGTCCACAGGGAAACCTGTCCGGGAGGACAAGTCTGCATAGTCTCCTGTGCAGAGCCCAGGGCAGAGAATCCAGCACAGAACACACAGCCCGTCCTGTAGGTGTCTCCAGTGTGGTCTGAGCTTCTCCACCTTGGGCCCCAGAGGCTCCCTGGGCAGTGTGCTCCGAGGCTTCCCCGTGCCCGGCGTGGCCTGTGGACCAGTGGTTCTGACCTCCTGACTGAGACTGTCATTGAAAGAGGCCACGCAGGAGGCTCCTTCCTGCAGGGGCATGAGGACAGCACCCTGGGACAGAGGCCTGCAGAAGAGGTCATTCTTGTCCACAGACCCGGACACCCTGCCTGCTGCCCCTCATGGCCACCTGACACCTCCCTGTCTCCTGAGATCCAGCCCAGCTGCTGTCACCCAGGAAGAAAACCTCTGTGAGAGGAAGAGGAGCCTGGATGGTAGGAACTCCGAGGCCTCAGCATCACAGGGACAGGGGAAGGCTGGGGACTCTGGCTGAGTCAGACTGAACCCCGACACTGGGCCTGGGGACATCACACAACTGGACAGGGCAAAGTCTGGGGGGCTGAAAGACCCTGAGACTGTGACCAGGAGGTGACCCCTGTTGTGTTACTGCAGATGTCACCATGAAGGACACAGAGCCTGTGGACAGAGTGGAGCTGGATGCTCAGGTGAGACCCCGCCCCATCCAGGGCACAGGGACTTCCTGTCTCCCAGTTCAGCCCAGGGATGCTGCTCTGTCCTGCACCACTCAGCTCTGAGGAACCTCACACCTGAACCCTCCCTTCTGGAAACCCCAGCCTCTGCCTGCTGAGACCCCACCCTCTGCTCTTTCCTGTGCCCTTGGGGTGCCCTCCTTCCAACACCTTTATGGCCCTCAGCCTCTGTCTGGTGGTTCGTGCCCCAGGTCTCAGTAGGACCCTGAGTGAAGAGCCCCCACACCCCCAGGTCCTCCCTCACTCATACAATGTGCCCTCTCGACCTGGCTCCATGGGGGCTGCAGGTACAGCGGGGAGCACAGACCCATCAGCCGTGAGTCACCTCAAGGTTGGAGCCCAGTGTCAGGAGAGCACAGAGCTGAGAAAGAAAATACAGCAGAGAATGGGGTGGAGGGGCAGGAGGGCCAGAGTGAATCACAGAGAGGACTCTGGGAAGGGGAGCAGAAGCCTGCATGGAGAGGGCCACGCGGATCTCTAAAGCACAGCACTGCAGGCAGGGCACGGGGCAGTGCAAAGGCCCTGAGGCAGGGACGGGCTCCTTCAGGGAGGTGGGCCCTGTGGCTGCAGCCCAGACAGCAGGGCACAAGAATCAGAATTCGAGGGCAGCACTGCAAGAAGGAAGTGGCCAGAGTCTCTTAGGAAGCTCATAAAGGTCCCATGAAGAAGGAACAGAGTGTGGCTTAATTTCTAAAGGATCCCTCCATTCACTGTGTAGGAAACAGGTTGGTGGATACTAGCGTGGCACCAAGGAGACCCTGTCTCCGTCTCTGTCTCCCTGAGCAGAGCCCACCTGATGAGGACTCCCAGGGAGCAATGTATGCCCATGTGGAGCGCTCATCACCCGGTAAGAGAGAGGCGCCCATTCCTTCAACCCTGTTGGGACAGCTTCCAGATGCCAAGGATGGACAGGCCAGGGAGGACAGGTCGACAGACACTCAGGTGGGTCCTGTGCTCCCCACACACCAGTCCTCCCAGGCACCACGCAGGAACCACCCCCTCCCACTCTCCCCTGCAGGCTGTTGCCCAAGAGGGTCCCCAGGACGTGACCTACGCCCAGCTGGGCAGCTGGACGCTCAGAAAAGGGACAGCTGCACCTCCTTCCTCCCAGGACAAGGATCTCCCAGCAGAGCCCAGCGCATAAGCTGCTCTATTAGATACACCGAGGGGACACCTCTGCAGAATCTGGACCCTTCTGAGACACCCCTGACTACTCAGAGAGAGCTAACCTCACTGTGTGTTGCCAATGAAGTGGATTTCACTATTGAGTTTGTGGTCATTTGTTGTAGCAGCAGATACACAACATTCACAATGACATACTTTTTCATTTTGATACTAGTATTCTATAGTGCTATTTGTTGGGGACCAGAGCATGCAAATTGGGCTCTGAGAATCCCAGGCTAGCATGAGTCTTGCCCAGAGAAGGCAGAGGTATGGGGAAGGCTGCTACCCCAGCCATGGCAGAACTACCCACAGAATGGGATGTTCTTGGGACAAGATAACTCCTGTTAGGGATGCTATGACCATCAGAATCGATGCTATAGATACCAGGGGGTTCTTGGGGTAGGAAAATACAGGCTCCCCACTCTCCTGCTCCCTGTTCTTTGGGTTGCTCTGTTTCTCATCTGCCTCCCATGCCCTGACCACCACCGTGCTCTTCCCTGAACTTGTCATCACAACACTGGATGCCCATAGTTGCTAAACAGAAGAACTTAACTGCCGGGTCTTTGTCAGTGCCTCACGTGAGGCAATGAACCGTGGCGCCCATCGCACTTTAGGAAGCTGCCTCTCCTTCCTTTACCCCTCGCCTAAGCAGGCAAGTGGGGACCAAGTCAGTTCCTGGAAACTAGTGCTGGGGACAGGGAGCACTGAGGGCTGGGGGGAAGACAGAAAGAGTGGGACAGAGTGCAGGAGGTGAGGAGGGAATTCTGGGGGTGGAGGGGAGCAAGGGAAAGTGAACAAATGTATTTGGCACCTGGTAATAGTTTCTTCATCTTAAGAGAGATAATGGTATAGAATTTGTCCTTAGATGAAGAAAAATACATGAAATGATTGTGCATGTTATTAAATCCAGCCAGCACTTAGGTCAGCGTCCACAGACTGGCAAGAATGTTACAGGAAATCTTTAAACATAATCCAAGCCTTCCACAGGCGGGATGAGGTGAGGGAACCTTAGGGGACTCGGGGTCAGGGGGGAGAGATCTCTCCAGAAACTGCTGCTGCCGGAGCTGAGATCAGCGCTGGGTCCGCGTGTACAGCTCCACCGCGTGCCTGTGCTGTCGCTCCACCACGGAGAGGGACGCGCTTAGGGTGAGGGCATGAAGGCCCTGGCTCCTGCTTTCCCAGGGGAAGACCTGGGGGCTGAGGCGGAAAGGAGAGACACCCCTTAGGCTGCTTCCCGTGACTATGATTGCAAGAAACAGGCAGCCCCTTGTCTGAGTACCAGCAGCTCCCGAGGAGGCTACAACAATAGCGGGAGCCATTAACGGGCCCTGTTGCTTCCCTGTTATAAGCAGACCTGACCCTAATCCTTGACAACAAATGACACCTAGTCTCAAGGAGTTGGATATGAAATTCCTAAGCAGTGGAAGCACAGCATTCCGAGTAGTCGCGTTCAGACTGTTTGCGCTGGGGCCTTCCGGTTCCGTTGGGAGAGCTTTACATCTGGATGCGAAGGATGTCAGACACCTCGCTCGCTCTTGCTTCTCGGTTGCTCAAAATCTTTCTTCCAGTGCTGAATTACAGAAGCTTGCGGCTGAGCCAGCCGCTGGGAAGAGACCAGGAAGTGGAGCAGACATCCATCCACCGAGAAGCCTCACTGGCTCCAGGGAGCCCACACTCATCTCATTGGCAGATTCCGGGAGCAGGTCGCACAGGCCCCCATAGCAGGCAGCAGATACTGTCTCCAGCTTGCTTTTGAAAATGCCAGTGAAGATCATAAGCAGGCCTTGGCCTGGCCAGGGCCATGAGCAATGTGGGGCATCATGTGTACCCCAGGAGGACAGAGGAGCTGAGCCCGACGAAAGCTCACGGATAGCACAAGCCATGGTCAGCCCTACAAGGGAATGAAAGGTGCTCGTGGTAAGTGACAGTGTGCAGCTCCCACTCGACGGAGAAACCCCCTGGCACCTGACCGGAGGGAACCAGTGATCCTCCTAGCAGGAGCGCGCAGCCAGCTTCGGCTCTGTCTCCTCTGCGAACAGGGGACCATCAGGCAAGACGTTGCCATCCTAAATATCATAAGAACAGCACAGCTCTTTCAGGAAAAGGGGAGCCCAGCCACACGACCCCAGTAGGAGGGACAAGGCCCACCACAAAGCAGAACCTCAGCCTAATTTTTATTTTATTTTTTATTTTTTAAAGGGAGTACAAAATGGTTTAAAAAAAATTAGAACTACTTCAGAATGTAATTAAACAAATTAATAGAATGCTGCAATGGTTGTTGTACTGCCTACGCTTATCTTCAGATCAGTTGTTCAGATTACTAGACATCAACATGTAGGATTGGTAGTGAAAGAGAGTTATAAGAAATTAGAAAGAAGAAAAAAATTAAGCATTCACTGCTGCTTTCAAGAGACCAGCAGAAATCAGCAGTACAATTCTCCAAGCCATCCTGAGTGCACTTTGCCCCTTTGCTGTTCTGAGAAATGTCCGAGCTGGCAAACAGACCCCCCACTGGTGTAAAGACGGATCTCGTTGTGCAGAGGGGTGTGCACCGGTGATCCCAGGACCCTGGGAGGCTGAGACAGGAGGACCTCGAATCCCAGCCCATCCTGGACAACTCAGTGACTTAGGGAGACCCTGTCCCAAAAATAAATAATAAATAATAAAGGGCTGGGGAAGCTGCTCAGTGTGGAGGCCCTGAGTTCAATCCCAGGAAAGATGTGAGGGAGCAGGAGATGGGGGAGAAAGAACTAAGTACATGCACTCGGCCCGTGGGTCCCAGAGTGCACTCCTGGGTCCAGAACCAGCCGGGCCATGCAGCTTTGGGTGATACCCCAGGGGAATCCTCCGCCTGTTTGGTGCCCACTTGGGTTAGGCCCCAGGCCCTTCCCCTTCCTGTAGGTCTGCCGTAGGGAGGGATCTGGATGCCCCCGGCTCTGGTGGGGCCCTCAGTCTCCAGCCCCCTTAGGCCCTGCCAGCCAGGCTGAGTCTGCAGGAGGGGCCACACCTCCCTCCTGTGCAGCAACTCCCAGCTTCCCAGGGTGGGATGGTGCCCTCGCACTCCATGAAGGACACTGACTCAGGAGCCTGGGTCCCCATGTACACTGCAGCAGTAGGCCGTGTGGGCCAACAGGGTCAGCACCACAGCGTCCAGAAACACCGCCCTGCTCCACCTGGGTGAGTCTGAGGTAGGAGTGGCCTCAGGGGGCACAGGGACCCCACAGCCAAGGCCGCTCCTGATCCAGGGCTCCAAGGCTGCACAGGGAACCTAGTCCCTTCCTGCAGAGGTGGGCTTCCCAGATACTGTACCTACAGCTACAGTGCTGTGTCAGAGAAAGTGGCATAGGCTGGGTACTGTGACACATGCCAGTAATCCCAGAAGCACGAGGATGAGACAGGAAGATCACAACTTCAAGGTCAGACTGAGGTACATAGAAACACCTCGCTTCAAAACAGCAAAAGAAAAGAAAGCCTTCCTGTCCACTTGCTGCCTTCTCTCCAGGCTGGTGCAGCAAGCCCTTGCTCTCCGTGGATCAGAGCTCGGTGGTGATACCTGGAGAGAAGGTCCCCATCCACTGCCATCCGGCCCGCACGCCACTTGATCAATTCCCTGGCCAAGAAGGAGACACCTTCCTGCCACAGCACCAGCATGAGGGGCCTCGGGGCAACCGCACCCTGGGCCCCATGAACCCCAGCTTTGCGGAGAAGTAACTGTGCTACGTGTGACACAGCAGCTGCCCCCAGGTGTGGTCGGCACCCAGCCAGGCCCCGGAGCTCGTTCTCACAGGTAGGCACACCCCAGCCCAGGTCTCCCTAAGGATCTGTCCTCAGGTCAGACTGCTCGGCTGCCCTGAGCAACATGGGGATGGCTACAAAGTCACAACAGGACTTGGAGAACAAATGACTTCCCACTCGTCCCACTCTCATGCTCCACATCTTTGCT